CACGCGCGCGCATGCACGCACTCACGCACACACGTCGGAGGACGTCAGCTGTAAGACTCAGGGACGGGACACCTGCAGACCGGGCTCGCTCCAACCGACCGGGTCAGCGCGGCACGTCCTGCAGTGGTATTTGTCGAGTGGAGGTCAGCGTGTGTAGTGGCTGCCTGCCCGCCGGCCTCTCCCCAGTGGACTGGCCGGCCAGGTGCTGACTGACGGGCTTTGCCTGACGCTGTCTGACGGGCTCTGTCTGGTACTGACTGACGGTCTGTGTCTGGTGCTGACTGACGGACTGTGTCTGGTGCTGACTGACGGATTGTGCTTGGCAGTGACTAATGGGCTGTATCAGGTGCTGACTAACGGGCTGTGTCTGGTGCTGACTGACGGACTGTGTCTGGTGCTGACTGACGGGCTGTGTCTGGTGCTGACTGACGGGCTGTGTCTGGTGCTGACTGACGGACTGTGTCTGGTGCTGACTGACGGACTGTGTCTGGTGCTGACTGACAGGCTGTGTCTGACGCTAACTGACGGGCTGTGTCTGGTGCTGACTGACGGACTGTGTCTGGTGCTGACTGACGGACTGTGTCTGGTGCTGACTGACGGATTGTGTCTGACGCTAACTGACGGGCTGTGTCTGGTACTGACTGACGGATTGTGTCTGACGCTAACTGACGGGCTGTGTCTGGTGCTGACTGACGGGCTGTGTCTGGTGCTGACTGACGGTCTGTGTCTGGTGCTGACTGACGGATTGTGCTTGGCAGTGACTAATGGGCTGTATCAGGTGCTGACTAACGGGCTGTGTCTGGTGCTGACTGACGGACTGTGTCTGGTGCTGACTGACGGGCTGTGTCTGGTGCTGACTGACGGGCTGTGTCTGGTGCTGACTGACGGACTGTGTCTGGTGCTGACTGACGGACTGTGTCTGGTGCTGACTGACAGGCTGTGTCTGAAGCTAACTGACGGGCTGTGTCTGGTGCTGACTGACGGACTGTGTCTGGTACTGACTGACGGATTGTGTCTGACGCTAACTGACGGACTGTGTCTGGTACTGACTGACGGATTGTGTCTGGTGCTGACTGGCGGACTGTGTCTGGTGCTGACTGACGGACTGTGTCTGGTGCTGACTGACGGGCTGTGTCTGGTACTGACTGACGGATTGTGCTTGGCAGTGACTGAGGGGCTGTATCAGGTGCTGGCAGACAGACTGTTTCTGGTGTTGACTGACGGGCTGTGTCTGGCGCTGACTGACGGACTGTGTCTCAGGTGCGCTGTCAGCTGGAGCTGCTGATCGACCGGGCGCAGTCGCGGCTGGCCGAGCTCCAGGCGGCCGCCGACGGCCTGCAGCGGCTGGACGAGGACGAAGCGAGCGTGCGGGACTGGGCAGAGCAGCAGACGCGCCAGCTGGCCGAGCTGGACCGGCAGACGGCGCGCCTGCAGCCGGAGACGGCCGCCGCCGAGCTGGAGCGGCTGCGCGAGTTGCAGCACGCCCTGCTGACCAAGCAGGCCCTGCTGGACGAGCTGGAGGCGCGCCGGCTGCAGCTGAGTGCTGAGTCGTCGTCGCAGCCGGCGCGGGCCGAGCTGGAGCAGCTGGCCAGCCGGGTGAGTGGGCCGCTGCCGGACTGATAGTGGGCGCAGCCGGGCTGACGGTGGGCGCAGCCGGGTGAGTGTGCCGCTGCCCGGCTGGCGGCGGGCACAGCGTCCTTCTCCGAGGTCTGCCCGGATGCCAGGCGGCGCGCTCAGCGCGTGATCGGTAGATCGGTCCCGTGGCCGTGTCAGCGTTTGACGTGTTGGCCAGACTGACCCAGTGTGCCGCCGCTGGCGCGGCGCGGCGCCGGCCGGTCTGTCACCCGCCGCCGCCCACCGTCAGCAGGACTTCATCCGGGTGAGGTTGTGGCGCTGAGGCTGTGACACATGCTCCGCAGGTGGCCGAGGTGCTGGACGCGCGCACGGCCGCCCAGACGTGTGTGGAGGAGTATTCGGCGGCGCTGCACGCGTGCCGGGAGTGGCACCAAGCGACGTCGGACGCTCTGCGGGTAGGCCGGCCCGGCAGCCGGGCGCGCACCATGTGCCGCTCCCAGTCCAACGTCGCACGGCCGAACAGGGCGACCGTGTCCGACAGGGACTTCCCCCAGGACACGCAGGCCGGCGCAGACCGGCGAGACAGTCGTAGAACCGAATGCAACCCGTGTTGTTGCTTTGGGTTTAATGGATGTTTCTATGCCTGGATACCAGTGGGGTGCAACAGGCTTTCATAGATGTTCATGGAGATGTCATACGCAGCACGGAGCCACCTGTGCCAGTCGAGGTCGAACGCTCAACAACGTGAAAGAACGTGACAACGGTACACTCGTGTGCGTTCGTTCATGCAGTTCCGCATTTAGAGGGTTTGGTGTAGATGGACCACAGTCTGGTTGGTATCGGTGTGTTGTTTTGACGGGAGTCGGCCGTGGTGGCAGGCCGTGGACGCGCAGGCGGCGCCTGGCGACGGGCGTCTGCAGTCGCTGGCCGAGCTGCGTCAGACGTGTGACGCGCAGCGGACCAAGCTGCAGGCGCTGGAGCGGCGGGCGGAGGAGGCGCGCGCCCGCCTGCCGGAGCCGGAGGCGCAGCACGTCACCAGCCAGGCGAGTCGGGGCCCGCCCCGTCTGATGTTGAGCGGCAGGCCGACTGGGGGCGTGTCGGCCGCTCCGTCGCACAGCGCCCTGTGCCGCCTCTCATGGCGTCTGCGCTGCGCGGGGCTCCGTCGGCGTCGATCGGTCGGCTGTGTAGCGGACAGTGGCGGTTGCACGGTTATATTGCGCCCTGAGCCGATTGTGCGGCCGTGTGGCGTTGCGTCTGCGGAGGAGGGAGCGGCCCACGCGCCGGGGCTGGCCTTGACCAGCGCGCCGCGCCTGGCCGGCGGCAGGTGCTGAACGCCCAGCGCGGCTACGACGAACTGTGCCGGCGTCTGGAGCAGAAGACGGCCAGCGTGCGCTCGGCCGCCGAGCAGCTGGAGTGGCTACTGGAGCAACTGCGCCAGCTGGCCGGCTGGTGCCAGCAGTCGCAGCAGACGGCCGCTGGCCTGGCCCGCCCGATCGGCTTCACGCCTGAGGCCGTCGCCGACCGCATCCAGCAGATCCAGGTCCGCCAGCCCGCCAGGCCGCCAGGCCGACCGGACGCCGTCTGACGGCCGCGCCATCCGTCCAGGAAGTAGGCCGTGCTGCACGCTGCTCACCTATCCACTGTCCGAGCGTGGTGGGGTTTATAAACCCCAATGCACGGTTGGGGACCGGATATGTGTACAATTACGTAGCGGGATCACCCTCACGTGCCGTATTCCCCTATTCTTTGTATTTTCAGCCGATGTTGGACTTCCGTGCTTTTGTGTCGTTTGAGAAAAATGCTATGAGGTCGAATGGGCTAGGACTGTATGATTAAGCAGAGCTGAAGCCTTGCAAGACGCTCAGGCCGGCGACAGGTCCTTTCCATGAGACGAGTGCACGGCGTCTTCCCATTCTCGTCGCTTGCGTCGCAACGCTGTGTCTGTGCGGCGGCAGGCTCTGGAGGCCGAGACGAACGCGAAGCGCTCGATGCTGCCGCAGTTTTCCAAGGCCGTGTCCAGCCTGGGTCCAAGCCTGGCCAGTTCTGAGCGCCAACAGCTGACCTCGACACTGCAGCGGATGGAGGTGCGTCAGCCGCCGGCACAGCCATGGCTGCCAGCGTTACGTGACAGCGATACTCAAAGCAGTGTGGTGTGGTCAGTCATGACCAGTGCAGTGCATCAGCGGAAGGTTTGGCTGCAGTTATGAGGTGTCTGCCACTTGATGCATGGCGACTCAGCGGGCGCGAAGCATGGCATCGGTCTCTGCGAACATCGCGAGTCAATTGGCCGAATTATATATTGTCTGTCGTCATCAGGTCGTTGTTTCTGTGGAAGGGCGAGGTGAACTGGTGATGAAGCTGGACACTATAGTGACGAATAATTATATATATATATATATATATATATATATATATATATATATACGATGATGTGCCCTCTCCTCTCTCTCCTCACCCACGTCTCCCCCCTTCCCCTCTCTCCCATGTGGGACTTGAAGAGCTCTCAGACCTATTGCGGTTATGTACTGACCTGCATATAAGGATGGGGTGACATCACCATGGCACCAGGCCCAGAGCGCCAAAGCCACACAGCTGTGAATCGATGTTGGGCTCGTCTTGTCATGCCTTGCCATGTGCTGTTGGCGGCTGTGTGTTGTGACTCTGTCGCGCGCCGCGCCTCTGCCGGCCGGGCAGGCGTCTGTCAAGGAGCTGTCGGCGGCGCTGGAGACTCAGACGGCGGCGCTGCGGCGGGCGCGCGCAGACCGCGAACGCCTGCAGCGCGCCACCAGCGACGCTCGCCAACAGCTGACCGACGCCGCTGAGCAGCTGCAGCTGCCGGAGCAGCTGCCGCTGGCTGCTCAACAGGTCCAGCAGCTCATGGACCAGAGAACGGTAAGTGGCATACGTGGTCGGCTGCAGACACGCGGCGGGCCGGTTCGGTCAGTCGAATGGTTGGCGTTCGCAGCAACGCATCAGGAAGTTAGAACAGGGAGCCCTCCCCCCCCCCCCCCCCCCCCTCCTTGCATTTGGTGTGTGATTGAGTTCACCAGAGACGTGGTGCTGACATTCGGTCTCACGGTTCAGATAGCTTGCAACATATTCCATATACCCTCTTTCACACCAAAAATGTAATCGCCTTTATTCTGCTTTGCACTGATTTTCTGCGGAGGCTGCAACACTGGAGCTGGAACCTCGGTGTTGTAGTACAGTATATGGCTACAGTATTGAAGCGCCTCGGTTTGCTGTGCGTCGCCGCAACTCTGAGAGACTGTCCAGTTTTGGCGGCCGCCAGACACTAGTGTCGCAGTTGGATACGCTGGCCGGCCGCCGGCTGGCCGAGCTGCGCCAGCAGGCCGAGCCGCTGCTGGCCGACTGCAGCGACGACGACAAGCAGAAGCTGCTGGACCAGCTGGAGCAGCTGAAACGGGACGTCGCCGGCCTGCAGGTGTGTGGCGCGCCGGCTGTGGGCCCTGTCTGTCGCGCGCCGCGCTGCACTGACCGCCGGCCGGTGATCACGGGCCGTCCCAGACGACTCGACCTATGTAGTCTAGCGGCCGCGGCTCAGTGCAGGCCTCATGAAGGGGACGGTTTGGCGTTTGTCGAGCAGATATTGCCGCACTCTGTGCGGCGTCAGCGACGGTGCGAGCGACTGCGTGCGCGCATGCGTTTGCACGTGTGTTGGTGTTTGTGCTCTGTTTGCACATGTTTGTGTTGTGGAGCGGTCGACGCTACGAGCTGACCTGCGTCTTCCTTGGGTGAGCAGGAGCGGGCGGCGGCCGGCCGGGAGCAGCTGGCGTTGGTGCTGAAGTCGCGCCGCCAGCTGGACGCCGAGCTGGAGCAGTGTCGTGACTGGCTGCAGTCAGCCCAGCTGACGCTGCGCCACGAGCCGCTCACGGCCACCAATCTGGCCATCCTGCAGGAGCACGCGCTCAAGGTAGCCGGCCCTCCCCCCCCCCCCCCCCACGGCCGGATGAGGCCTCCTCCCCACGCCGCGATCGGCGACACCCGGTCAACCGTCCGACGGCCGTGATTATCAGAAAGGAAATACAGCCCATGTTCATTGCCTTCGCTAAGGTTTTTTTAAAGAGAGTTAGCCCAACTATGATAACTCAATCAGGCTTTTTGGAATGATCAAGCAAAAACTATACGCCCGTGACTCCCAAATAGGACGTATAGGTAGGTCGAGACAAGTAATGGCTACGTTAAACCCCGATGCTGGGCTTTCTTTGTGTAGTTGTGTTTTCTTCGGGCTCATGTCCGACACCGTAGGACAGTGATTGGGAATGAGATGCGGCCCGGCGCGGCTACGACTGTACGGCTGTGTCTGGCTGCGGTGTCTGCAGCCCCCGCCCTTTCTGCGAGACTCTCCGTGCTGTCAGTGGTGTGGCCCCGGTGCGGCAGCTGCGGTTCTAACCACGTCCGGCAGATGGCGAGCCTGCAGGAGGAGTACGACGCGCACCGACAGCAGCTGGCCGGCGTGCTAGAGACGAGTCAGCGGCTGCTGCCGGGCCTGCGAGCCCCCGACCGGCTCACCCTCACCGACTCGCTGGCCACGCTCAACGCCCATTACGGCGAGGTAAGCGGCGTTTCCGGTGCCGGGAGCCGGCTGCGGAGCCGGTCACGGAGCCGGCCGCGGAGCCGGTCACGGAGCCGGCCTCGGAGCCGGCCACAGAGCCGGCCACGGAGCCGGCCTCGGAGCCGGCCGCGGAGCCGGCCGCGATGCCGGCCGCGGAGCGGGCCACGGAGCCGGCCGCGGAACCGGCCACAGAGCCGGCCACGGAGCCGACCACGGAGCCGACCGCCCTGGGTCACAAGCCCCAGCACGAGCGACCACGTCGGTCAGACCAGCACCATGGCGGCTGGCGGCCCGGGGATGCGTGTAACGTCGAACTGTGTACCGGGTTGATGGCGTCGGCGTGCCGTCGCCGGCGGTGCCTTGACGCGCCTGACCGGGCTGGGCCGGCCTGTCCCTCAGGTGGGCACGCGCATTGAGGAGCGGGCCGAGGCGTTCCGCTCGGCGTCAGAGCGCCAGCAGGCCGTCAACACCAAGATCGCCTCCAGTGTTACGTACCTGACCGAGATCAAGAAGGAGATTCGCACGCTCAACAAGCCCATGGGCTCAGGCGTGGAGGACGCTCAGGTAGGCAGCACGAGCGCCAGCCGCGCCCGGCCCGGCCCGGCCTGGCCGGCTGGACGCCACGCACGCTCAAGGCCGGGCACACCGGACTGGCTCGGGTTCAGGGAGTGCCGCCCCTCTGGATAGACTTGGGTGCAAGGATTGCCGTCGCTCTGGACAGGCTTGGGCTCAGGGAGTGCCGTTGCTCTGGACATGCTTAGGCTCAGGGAGTGCCGTCGCTCTGGATAGACTTGGGTGCAGAGATTTGTGTCGCTCTGAGCGGGCTTGGTTTAAATGAGTGTCGTCACTCTGGACAGGCGCGGGCGCAGGGTGTGCCCTCAGTCTGCCCGTCCGTGAGGTCCGTTGGGCGGCGTCACAGTCGGTACCAGCGGCGCCTGTGCTGGAGCCGCGTGTCGACACGGGCGGTCTGGCCAGCCCCGAGCAGCACGCCTCAGAGCCGGGGTGTGCCGTGTCGGCTCGCCGGGTGCCGACTGACGCAGAGTCTGGCCGGCGACGCCGGGCCGGGCTCCTCGGCGGCCGGCTGACCCGTGCTTGTGCTGGCGGCAGGGCATCCTCAGCAGCTACGAGGAGGTGCTGCAGAAGCTGCGCGAGTTCCGCAACCAGCTGGAGTCGCTGCAGGACCAGACGGTGGGCAGCATCACCGACCTCAACGACCTGATCCGACAGCAGGACGAGCTGGTGCGGGCCATCGAGAACCAGGTGAGCGGCGCCTGGCCTGACGGGAGCTGGCCAGTCACGCCACGTCACGTCACGTCACGTCACGTCACGTCACTGCCGAGCGGCCGGGCCGGCGGCCATGAGCCGTCGCCTCTGCCCCGCTCCGACCGAGGCGCCCTAGGCCGCTATACGGACGGCAGGTGTTCAGCCTTCCAGCGCGGATGTCTGGAACCGAGCAGCGCAGCTTCGTGATGGAGGACGACGCGCAGGACGGCACGCAATGTAATTGTGTTTTCAACAACCTGATCATTGTATGTCTGTCGTATGGGTTGGTGTGTACCGATGTCGCACGAATCTTTTCTGAAAATTGGTGGCTGCTATTTAGAGGAATGATGCTTCTGCTAATCCCTTGATTGCCACTTGTCGGAGGCTGAACGAGGGCGGCTGTTGGTGTAACAGGCGCCGTGCGGTCTCCAGCGCGCCGGCGCGGGGGCGCTGTGCTGGTCAGACGGCGGTCGTCCGGCGGTCCCGGGGCGCCGTTGAGAGGGTGCTGCGTTGGTCGGATGGCGTCCGGCCGGCCGGCCGGCGGTCCGGGCGCTCCTCCTCAGCCGCCACCGGCGCGTCCGCAGGTCTCCAAGCTGCGCAACCTGGTGCTTCTGCGGCAGCAGTTCCTGCACCTGCTGACCGAGATCACCGCCTTCCTCACCAGCCACGCCGACATCGTGGCCGACGTGGAGCGCACGGAGCGGCCCGTGCCCGACAAGATCCGTCAGTACACCGGCGTGCTGGCCAAGGTGCGGATGTGCGCGGATGTGCATGGCACCGGCCCTGCCCGGCGCCTCGCTCAGGCGGACCGGGCACGCCGCGGCGCCGGCGGCGGCCCGCACATCCGCCGGCGGCGCGGCGCCGCAGGCCCCAGTGTTGGCTTACTGGACAGGATAACTCTGCACTGCTTTCGAGATTTACCGTCTGGCGTTATAGGCTTTTTGGAAGGGTGTGTGATGCACGTCCCCTGCACAACCTTTTATAGAACTCCAGCGACTGCGGTGGTCATATCAGCGCTAAGGGGCCGTGGTGCTGCCGGCATTGGAGCCAGAGCTTCACACGTGGGAGCCGAAGGGACCGATCACCCGACCGTTGCGCCCCTAGTTCGGACACTGGGTTTGCCCCTGGTTAGGTCCCTGTGTCGTGTCGTTGCACTGGGCGCTGCGGCGTGTCGGCCCTCACGCGTCCTGTGTCACATTCGTCCGAGGTCGCCACGCCCTGAGGCCGTACTTCTGCGCACGCCGCTGATGAGAGGAGTGCACAGCTGCTCTGTCAGCGGGGTTTGCCTTCCAGGTGGGCGGCGATCCGAACCGGCGGGTCCACTCGGCCGTCTCGCTCAAAAAGTTAGGCGTCGCGCAGTGCGATCAAATGGTAAACGACAGCCTGCGCGCCGTCGTCGGTGGCGTGTGTGCCCAGCCCGGTCTCCGGTCCGCCCTCCGGCGCCGGCCGGTCCCCGCCCCCCACTCCCCCTTCCCCCGGGACAGACCGATCAGGGGCGCTGGGCCCTCCGGCGGTAGGTCACGGCCTGAGCTGACGGTGGTGGCCGCAGACGGTCGGCCGCCCCGCTCCAGCTCCGCTTTTGTTCCGCTCAGGGCGGCGCTTCGCCTACCGTGACCGGGCTGCAGCGGACGTGGGAATGTTCTGACCCGGTTCTGTCCGTCCACGGGGTGCAGGGAACTACTGACCCGGCACTGTCCGTCCCCGGGGTGAAGGGGTATCCTGACCGGGCTCTGTCCATCCCCGGGATGTAGGGGGTATCCTGACCCGGCTCTGTCCGTCCCCGGGGTGAAGGGGGTATCCTGACCGGGCCCTGTCCGTCCCCGGGGTGAAGGGGGTATCCTGACCCGGCTCTGTCCATCCTCGGGGTGAAGGGGGTATCCTGACCCGGCTCTGTCCGTCCCCGGGGTGAAGGGGGTATCCTGACCCGGCTCTGTCCATCCCCTGGATGTAGGGGTATCCTGACCCGGCTCTGTCTATCCCCGGGGTGTAGGGGGTATCCTGACCCGGCTCTGTCCATCCCCGGGGTGTAGGGGGTATCCTCACCCGGCTCTGTCCATCCCCGGGGTGTAGGGGGTATCCTGACCCGACCCTGTCCATCCCCGGGGTGCAGGGGACTACTGACCCGACCCCGTCCGTCTGCAGGTGCAGGACATCGAGGCGCTGTTAGCCGCGGCGCAGGACAAGGGCCAGCAGATCTCGGAGGAGGGCACTGTCAGTGACCGCAACGCCATCCTGAAGCAGCTGCAGAGCCTGAAGCAGCAGATGACGTCGCTGAAGCGGGCGGTGGAGACCAAACGGCGCCAATACGAGGAGGTGAGCGCCCTCGTACAGCCCCGCTGTCTGCCGACACACCGCGGCCGCCTGGGGGCGTCCAACAGCCGCTCAACAGGAGCGTCAGGTGTGCCGTGACGGACTGTCCGCAGGGTTCAGTCTCGGGTGTATCCATGTTGTCCCCAGACTGTCTCAGTTCTGTCCGTGTTGTCCCCAGACTGTCTCAGTTCTATCCGTGGTGTCCCCGGACTGTCTCAGTTCTATCCGTGGTGTCCCCAGACTGCCGAGCGCCACGCGGCGCTGACGCAGCAGGTGGCGACTGAACTGGACTGGCTGCACGAGCGGGAGGCCGTCATCAGATCACGGCCCGTACTTAGCATGGACGACGCCGAGATCCACCGACACAGCCAGGAGAGCCTGGTATGGGCGGCGCGGCGCAGCGTGGCGCGCGGGTCAGCCGCTCGCCCCGTCCCTGCTGGCACGCCACGCGCGCTCAAGGGTGGACCAGCGCCTGACACGGAGTGGTGCAGACGCGGCTATGGCGCGGCCGGTGGAAACGGTGCTTGTAAACAGGCGTCTGCCTGGTGTTCTCTTGTGTTCTACGTCTGCCTGTTCCAATCCTGTCTCGCCCTGCGGGCCGGCACATCTCCCCCGGTGCCCTCCGTTCGCCCCCCCCCCCCCCCCCTGCAGCTCTGCCGACCTCCCTTCCGGTGCTCGCCGTCCGACTGTGTCCGTCCGGACTGACCAGGTACGTGTGGGCGCCGGCAGACGCTGTGTGACGAGACGCTGCCGGCGCTGGAGCGGCTGCAGCAGCTGGTGACGGAGACCGAGGGCCTGGGACCGACGCGCGAACTGCCGGCCGGCCTGCAGCAGCAGCTGAGCCAGGCGCGCCGCCTGCTGCACACCCTGCCCGGCGAGATGGCCGGCCGACAGACGTGCGTACCGCGCGCCGCCGCTGCACGACGTACAGTGCCAGATCTGGTCTGGCGACGATGGCAGAACCACGCAGTGGGCGGTGCAGACGGTTGCTCGCTGAATTTAGACCTGAGTGTGATTTGGGTGCGAGCTCTGCGTATGGCGTATGAGTGTAGAGCAGCTGCCGGGCGTTACGTCGGCCTTCGTCTGACGTCACACCGCGTCACGTCACGTCACGTCACGCCACGTCACGTCAGTGAGAGCCAACCATGGGCTAAGTCGGTGCAGTCGCGCGCGATCAGTGTCACGTTGGTAACGGTTCGGCGGGGTCGCACTGCGCAGGTATCTGCAGGAGGCGCGCCGCCTGTTCGACCAGTACCGGTCTCTGAAGCAGACTGTGTCCGAGTGGGCCCGCGACGTGGGCGAGCGCGTGGAGGAGGCCGAGGCTTGCGGTGACACGCCGCAGCGGCACCAGGCCGTCTCCCGGTGTCAGGTGAGGCGCCCGGGGGTGAGCCGCGCTGCCAGCACGACGGCCGCGCCGCCCAGCAGCCGGCTTTGATCGAATAGGGGGCGCTCCTGACACTTGGCATTTCCACTAGTTGTTCGTGTACTATGCGTGGGTGACGTGGTTGTTGTATGCGACCGTGAAGAGTGCCCACCTGTAGCGCGAGCGGCTGCCGCTGCCGGCCCGCTGGGGCCCGGTCGGTGGCGCCGCTCACTCGGCGCGTGTGTGGCCGCCGGCAGGCCCTGATGGCGGACGAGTCGGCACGGCGCGCCCAAGTGGCCGAGCTGCACACGACTGTGGACCGGCTGCTGCCGCTGCTGGCCGCCAAGCCGCGCGCGCAGCTCGACGCCAACCAGCGCCAGCTGATGGTCTCGTACGACGCCATCGTGCTGCGCGCTCAGGAGCTGCTGGACGGCTGGTCGCGCCAGCTGGCGGCGCGGCAGCGGGCCGAGGCGGTGCTGGCGCAGGTGCGCGCAGCCCTGGCCGCCGCCCGCCAGCCGCTGCCGGCGCCGACCAGTCTGGAGACGCTGCGGGAGGCGGCCAGTTGCGCACGGCAGGCGCGCGCCGCTCTGGACGTGAGTGTGCCGCCGCTGGGGGTCGGTGCCGCCCGACCGCCTGTCCTCCACCTGTCAGTACAGAGGTGTCCGAGGTTTCTGTCGAGGCCGTCCAGGTGTGTGGTTTCACCGGCCGGCGTATCCTAGTGCGAGCGGCGCCTGTAAAGAGTCTCCCGCGGCCTGGCGTACCGGGCCGTGCGCCGTCGGACGGGTGCCGGCTGGATGGGCTGCTGTCTGACGGTCTGTCCCATTCCGGCCAGTCCAAGGTGCCGCTGCTGTCGGAGCTGCAATCGCTGGTGGACGCCACCGACGGCGGGCAGGAAGCGGCAGGGGAGGCGGATCGGGCGCAGGCCGAGTGGCGGCAGATGGCTGACCGGCTGGATGTTGACGCTGCCACTATGGACGATATGATCAGGCTGTGGCAGGTACGGCTCCAGGGGCACGGCATATTATCAGGGGCTGGAGCCCTTCAGCTCCTGAGAAGTAGCGTTGACCCATGGACATTGACTGCAACAAAAAATAACCAAAAAAACTGTTCACCCCAACTTGGTAGGACATGCCTTGTCTCGAACAGGGCACGCGTCCTCTCCGTCCTGGTCTGTGTGGTCTGTACCCACCGCACCGGCCTCTATACTCAGCGCACCGGACCGATGTCCACTGGCTCAGACCTCAGCCCCATCTGCATCCATCGGCCCCGGTCCTAGCGTCAGCCCATGTGAGCATCAGCTCTGTGCGGGATTTGCTGCCACCGTTCGCAGCGCCGGCGGCGGCCGCGCCTGCTTGTGGTTGGTCTGGAGCCGAGCGAACTACAGACTCGAGTGCACCACCCACTGCCTCCTGTGGGGTATAGAACTTACCTGTCCGGGGTGTGCATATGGAAGTGGCGGCAGCGCCGGCCTCGGTACAGCCGCCGCACGTGCTGGCGGCCGCCTCAGTCATGCTCTTGCCGGGGCGCTACAGCTGCTGCCCGCCTGGCGCGCCGCAGTGCTGGCCCGCGGTGGCCTCCGCTGTACACTGGGCTCCGCCGTTGCAGACGGTGGAACGGGAGCTACTCGGTCTGGAGTCGGCCGCGGACGCGGTCGGAGCGTCGGCTGACGCGCTGAGGCCAGCCGACGGCGCCTCCGACCGGCAGGCGCAGACGAAACAGGCCCAGGTGCGTGATGCGCGCCACGCCCGGCGGTGCCGCCGCGTCCGTGATGGGACCAGGCGGCTGCGGTGGCCGGCCGCCGCTGCTCGTCGGTGGCGGCTGCGGGATTGCAGCGGAGGCCGGCGGAAATCAACGGCAGCCCCGCCCTGTGGGCACGGCATTCATGTGTGTGCGGAGTGCTAGTGTATGCTCTGTACGGACTGATGCGGAGAAGGTAGCCTGGTGGCGTGGTTTCGGCCAGGGGGGGGGGGGGGCTGCCTGCCCCTGAGCTCTCCTATCTCTTCTCTGTTGCCGCCGTCTTTTGGCACCGGTACCTGCTGTCCCTGACGACTGCCTGTTCCTGTGCCCGCTCTCCCTGACGGCTGCCTGTCCGTGTGTCTGTTATCCCTGACAGCTGCCTGTCCGTGTGTCTGTTATCCCTGACGGCCGCCTGTCCGTGTGTCTGTTATCCCTGACGGCTGCCTGTCCGTGTGTCCGTTATCCCTGACGGCCGCCTGCCCGTGTGTCTGTTATCCCTGACGGCTGCCTGTCCGTGTGTCTGTTATCCCTGATGGCCGCCTGTCCGTGTGTCTGTTATCCCTGACGGCTGCCTGTCCGTGTGTCTGTTATCCCTGACGGCCGCCTGTCCGTGTGTCTGTTATCCCTGACAGCTGCCTGTCCGTGTGTCTGTTATCCCTGACGGCCGCCTGTCCGTGTGTCTGTTATCCCTGACGGCTGCCTGTCCGTGTGTCCGTTATCCCTGACGGCTGCTTGTCCGTGTGTCTGTTATCCCTGACGGCTGCCTGTCCGTGTGTCTGTTATCCCTGACGGCCGCCTGTCCGTGTGTCTGTTATCTCTGACGGCTGCCTGTCCGTGTGTCTGTTATCCCTGACGGCTGCCTGTCCGTGTGTCTGTTATCCCTGACGGCCGTCCGTCCGTGTGTCTGTTATCCCTGACGGCCGCCTGTCCGTGTGTCTGTTATCCCTGACGGCTGCCTGTCCGTGTGTCTGTTATCCCTGACAGCTGCCCGCCGCCGCAGACGTGCCGGGCCGAGCTGGCGGGGCTGCGCCAGCGGCAGGAGGAGCTGGCGCCGCGCGTCGCCCGGCTGCTGCAGTACCTGGGCGCAGCCGAGTCGCCGGCTGTCGGACCCCTCTCGGAGCGGACCGAGCGGCTGGGCCAGCGTCTGGACAGGTGAGTGGCGTCCGCCTGCTCGGCACGCACCGGTGCTCCGCACGACGGCCGCATGCGGCGCTAACCTCTCCGCTGGCGCCAGCCTGGACAACTGTCTGTGTAATGGCCAGTGCAATAAAACCGGCATGAGCGGGGAAAGGTAAAAGAATACTTCGGTGCGTTGGAAAGGCCTCGATGTACTTGTCCTTGGCTTGTACTTAAACTATTACTCGTGTCGCGATTTGCGTCAAGGGATAAGTGGTTGTGTCCGTCGATGCGCCGCTGGCCGTGCAGTTCAGCCGTGCGCCATGTTCGGTCCCGCAGTGTGACGACCGCGCTGGAGGAGCGCTGCCGTCAGCTGGAGGCGGAGGCGGCATTCTCCGAACAGGTGTGCCGCCGGACCGCCGGCCTGGCGGCGCGGCTCGAGTCGCACCGCGCCGCGCTGGCCGAGCAGGACCCGTACAGCGGCGAGCCCGCGCCCGCCGGCCACCAGCTGCAGGTGAGCAGCTCCCAGCGGACGAGCAGCATCCGCACAGCTGTCGGCGGTCGACCGCGGCTGCCAGCGGCCCGGCCGTGAGGTCAGCTTAGATTTGCCACGCGCCTGACAAGGTGCAGGCCGTCGATGGATGGCTGATGGCAGCGCCGCGTCCAGGGACGGCTGTCGGGAAGAGTCATCGACAATGGATGGTGATGTGACGGACTGGCATGGAGGACAGCATGCCAGGCAGGGTGCCGTGATTTGAGCATCATCCGTCAGATGTGACGGCGTCGGCCGATGGTGTCGATGGTGCTCAGCTCAGTGCCGTGCGCGCCGGCAGGACCTGCAGGAGGCCTCGGACGGCCTGGGCGGCGAGCTGACGGCGCTCTGTGACGAGGTGGCCGCGCACTACGAGCACGGCACGCCTCGAGCGGTGGCTGCTCAGGTAGGAGACGGGCCGCGCCCCAGGCCGCCCCGGCCCCACGCCCCATGGCAGCGGTAGCCGAGCGGTGCCGCTTGTGACGTGCCGAGTTCGGGCAGCACGTGCTGTCCGTGTGCAGCCCGTGCACGGCAGAGGGCGCCAGCGGACGTCAGAGCCGGCCTCTGATCGTACTCGTCCCGGCGTCCCGCCCGTGCACGTGCGCCGCCGCTGCGACCGAGCACTGATCAGTCGACATTGGTGGAGTCTGTGTCGGAGGTGTCGGTATTGGTCGTGTTTCCAGGTGTCCCGTCTGGAGATGGTGTGGGTGTAACGCCTGTCACCAGGCTGGAGATGGTGTGGGTGTGACGCGTGTGACCCAGCTGGAGGTGGTGTGGGTATGACGCGTGTGACCCGGCTGGAAGTGGTGTGGGTATGACGCCTGTGACTTGCCTGGAGATGGTGTGGGTGTGACACGTTTGTCCCGGCTGGAGATGGTGTGGGTATGACGCGTGTGACCCGGCTGGAGGTGGTGTGGGTGTGACGCCTGTGTCCGTGTTGCCAGGTGTCCCGGCTGGAGCTGCTGTGGGTGTGACGCCTGTGTCCGTGTTACCAGATGTCCCGGCTGGAGGTGGTGTGGGTGTGACGCCTGTGTCCGTGTTGCCAGGTGTCCCGGCTGGAGCTGTTGTGGGTGTGACGCCTGTGTCCGTGTTACCAGATGTCCCGGCTGGAGGTGGTGTGGGTGTGACGCCTGTGTCCGTGTTGCCAGGTGTCCCGGCTGGAGGTGGTGTGGGTGTGACGCCTGTGTCCGTGTTACCAAATGTCCCGGCTGGAGGTGGTGTGGGTGTGACGCCTGTGTCCGTGTTGCCAGGTGTCCCGGGCGAAGATGGTGTGGGTGTGACGCCTGTGTCCGTGTTGCCAGGTGTTCCGGCTGGAGGTGGTGTGGGTGTGACGCCTGTGTCCGTGTTGCCAGGTGTCCCGGCTGGAGCTGCTGTGGGACGGCTGTCGCCAGGCGCGGGCAGACCTGGAGTCGGAGGCCAAGCGCGCCTCCCAGGTGCTCGCCGACTACGCCTCGGGCCTGGAGGAGGTGACCAAGTGGATCGGTGAGCTGGAGTCGCGGTTGTGCGCCGCCGCCGAGCCGGTGCAGCTGCGCGCCCTGCTGGAGGAGCTGCAGGGCGAGCTGGCCGTCACCTCTGTTCGGCTGGCGGACGTGACGCGGCTGGCGGGCGTCATCACCGAGCGCGCCCGCCAGCCGGCGCGGCGCGCCACCGTCCAGCAGGCCGTGCAGCACGCCACGCAGGAGCTGGAGGCCGCCCGCGGCCGGCTCGAGAAGCGGCGACTCCAGGTGAGGGCTCCAGGTGTGCCATGTGAGGGCCGCTGTCTGGTGTGGTGGCGCTGGCCGCTGGTCCGGTGTTGTCACGGCAAGGGGCCGCCACCGTACTCAGCGGCGTTCCAGGTGTCAAAAGTCTGTAAGCAAGTGCTGGTGTTTGACGGTGGTTTGCCGGGCTGTCTCGCCGCAGGTTCTCGAGTCACTGGAGTCGTGGAGTCGCTTCATCGATAGTCATGACGCTGTCCGCGACTGGATGAAGAAGCAGCACGCACTGGTGCGCGAGCCGAAGACTTTAAACACGCTGATGAACGCTAGGGACGCACTCAACGAGTACAAGGTGATCACGGTTTTCAGAGCGGCGTTTCGTGAAATCGTCATGCTTTTCATGACAATAATAAAGGCGGGGCTCGGTATGTGTGCAATGGGAGATGTGTGCACGGTATGTCACACTCCAGTCTCGTTGTATGGGTTGTGGTGTCTGCTAGTTGGCTATCACTCCAAACTAGATAACAGATGGCTACGATCCTCCCAATGTCAAGCGCGGCCGTCCCGGATCGGGCTCCAAACAGTGCATTCGATGACGCAACAGGGTGTTAGCCGCCCTGGTAAACTTCCCGTGGCGTGGGAGGAGGCGCCGGCGCCAGCAGCCGCGCCGCACGGTCGCTGACGCGCCGCTGCCGGCCGCCGTCGCCAGGCCGCCGTCAAGGAGTGCAAGTGGGCCACCCGCAAGCTGCACGAGATGGCCACCGAGCTGAGCAGCACTGGCGAGACGTCCAGCGTGGACGCGCTGACCGAGCGCATGTCGGCCTGCGAGCACGACAAGATCGAGACCGAGACGCTGCTCAAGGAGCGGGTGAGGCGGCCGGCCGGCGGTTGGGCGCGGCTCCGTGCCCCGCCGCTGCTCCACTGCATAACCCGGCGGCCATTTGGTGGGCCGAGGCTCTCAGCTGACTAACTGTGACGGGGGGGGGGGGGGGAGGGGCGGGTTTTATGTAGACGGAACGAATTAGAATGATCGCGGTCTAGCTTTTCCTTTCATTCGCTCGCTGCGTGGTGGTTGTCGTTTGGTCCCCGCGGTCTGTGCAATAAGCTTGGCTGATATTTGGTGTGCATTCAAACAGCTGTTGCTCCGATGGACTCATGTCCAGCCCGCGTGCCGCTGTGTGTCTTGAGTCACGCTGCCATTGTCGGGTGTGGTAGTCGTGCTGGCGGCCGTGGGCCATTGGCTGGAGCACTGGGACCGCGTGGCGCGGACCAGGTGTGGCCAGCAGCTGTGATCTGGGCTGCGCTCCAGAGCTCGCTGGCGGAGGCTGGTGTGTGCTGGGCTGGGCGGTAGCAGCGCCATCTGGTGCAGGTTGGGTCTGGTTAGGGACCGATTATGGCGCTAACGGCGTGGCGCGGCGCTGGCCGGGCCGCGGCCTCGAGGACGTGTTCTGTGTTGAAGTTAGGTACGGACGGAAAGGCCGGCCGGCTGGGGCCCGGCAGCTGCATCTGACGGCGGAGCTGTAGCCGCGCGCTTGTCTCGCCCGTCCGTCAGAGGGCACTGTTGCCACACACGGCCGAAGGGTGGGGCTGGCTCTCTGACATCTACCCGGTTGACAGATGTCGCTACTGCTGGAGATGACCGAGGAGTGGGAGCAGTGCGAGCGTAAGATGCGGGAGGTGCAGGCCTGGTGTCAGGCGTCGCGCGCCTCGCTCGAGTCGCAGCAGGCGCGCAAGAGGCCCCTGCGCGACCAGCTCGCCTTCTGCGAGAAGATGTCCAGTGACAACGGCATCCAGCGCACTCGTCTGGCCATGGCTGTGGACAAGCTGGGAGTGAGTGTAGCCGCCGGGCGGACTGGCGGCCCGGGCCCAACACAAACAGCACTTTCCTGCGATGCCTGCGTGATGGCCCTCATAAGCTACACGCATTGTCACAAGAGTGTGTGCGTTCTACGGGTATTGCGGTAATAGTGCCCAGGTCCCACTGTTATTTGCGGAGGTGTATTAGGTCTAGGCTGCAGCTCACCTCCCTCCCTCCCTGACTCGATGCTGTGTGTCCGGCCGGTCCCCAGCTCGATGCTGTGTGCCCGGCCGGTCCCGGCTCGATGCTGTGTGTCTGGCTGGTCTCGGGCTCGGTGCTGTGTGTCCGGCCGGTTCCTGGCTCGGTGCTGCGTATTCGGCCGGTCCCCGGATCGTTGCTGTATGTCCGGCCGGTCCCCTGCCTCGATGCTGTGTATCCGGCCGGTTCCGGCTCGGGTGCTGCGTGTCCGGCCGGTCCCGGCTCGGTGCTGTGTGAGTCCGGCCGGTTTCCGGCTGGGCGCCTCCTGACGTGCCGTCTACCCGGTCTCAGGTCCACTTCCGCTCTGGTTACTTTGCCGGCGCGTCGGTGGTGGAGGAGCGTCGCTCCGAGCTGGAGTCGGAGCTGCGCCAGCTACAGACCACCGTGGACGAGCAGTGCCGCTCGCTGGCCGTCTGCGTCAGCCAGCTGGAGCAGTACCAGCAGGTGGGTGTGCTGGCGCGACGCCGCGTTACCCGGCTGCCAGCGGGCAGCCGCTGCTGCCGGTTGTACGGTCGGCGCTGGAGACGGTCTGCGTGGCTGCTGGCGGTGCTGGTGACGTCACACAGATGGCACCTCCAGGACGCCGTCCTGCCGTCTCGCCTCGTTGGTAACAGCTGTATGGTGTTGGCAGAGCTGTCGATATCTTACATTGATAGGTACTGGTATGGCTGTGAAGGTTAAGGAATCATCAGCTCTGAAAGCGGATGTGTGGCCGCACTGTCTCATAGGTGCGTTGTGATATTGCCACCAGCGCCAGTGCGGGTGCGCTGGCGGCCGGGATCCTCTTCAGCCGGCCCTGTCCCTCCTGGCGTCCGATGCTCCGCCGCCGTCGTCGCCGCGGCGCCGCTCCTCCAGCCTGCCTCCCTCGGCTGGCCCGCCCTCTCCCGAGCGGGCGGCACGCCCCGCCGCCGTCAGTCGGGACCTGACGCCAGATCCGCGCCAGCTTCACAGCTGTGTGCGTAGCGCGCGCTCCCTGCTGCGCCACACCTGGCGCATGTGCGCGGTACGTGGTGCAGGTTCTCCTATGATCCGCTCTCCTCTGCCCTCTCCCTGCGCCCCCCCCCCCCACCCCTCCTCTTCTCTCCTCCTTCTCCTCTCATCGCCTCTCCTCTCATCGCCTCTCCTGTCCTCATCCTCTCCTGTCCTCTCCTCTCCTCTCCTCTCCTCTCCTCTCCTCTCCTCTCCTCTCCTCTCCTCTCCTCTCCTCTCCCCTCCTCTTCTCTCCTCTCCTCTCCTCTCGTCTCTTATCGTCTCCTCGCCTTTATTCTCGTCTCTTATTGTCTCCTCTCCTCTCCTCTCATCTCTCTCCTCTCCTTACCTCTTTTCTCCTCTCCTCTCCTCTCCTCTCCGCTCCTCTCTTATCCTCTCCTCTCCTCTGCTCTGCTCTCCTCTCCTCTCCTCTCCTGTCCTCTCTCCTCCTCTCTTCTCTCCTCTCCTCTGCTCTGCTCTGCTCTGCTCTGCTCTCCTTTCCTCTCCTCTCCTGTCCTGTCTGTTCTTTTCTGCTCTCATCTCATCGCATCCCTTCTTTTCTCTCCTTTTTTCTCTTCTTTTATCTCTTCTCGTCTCCCTTCTCTCCTTTCCTCTATGCTCCTCTTCTTCCGTGTTCTCACTTCTCCTCCGGTCGCTGGCCAGTGTTGGTGCCGGGCCGCCACAGTCAGCTGTGCGTCTCCTACCAGTCGAGTTGTCCGTGTGGAGGAGGCGGGGCTGACCTATTCGCTCGAACGCGCTGTGATGCTGTATGGTTGACTTCAGACACCCAGCGCTGTATCGGCCTCAGCCGAGCTCCCGTCTTGTGACCTTTCCATGACTGCCGCTTCGCAGGCTGCCTGAATTTAGTAGGACTAGTTCCTGTCCTAGTCTACCATATGTTCTCATACCTATCCAGGCTCTGGCCCGTCTTTCATCCGAAACCTGGCCAGGGCGAGTGACGCGCGCCGCCGTGCCGATGCGGCACCGGTGGCCATGCGTACCTCCACCAGTCGGCCCGGTGCCTGTCGTGACCCCCCGCCACCCGCAGGACGTGCAAACGCTACGCGCGCGCATACTGGAAATCGATCAGCAGTTGCGCACCGTGTCGCAGCCAGCACACGTGGCACGGGACCGGGACGTGGCGCTTGCGCAGCAGCGGGTGAGCGCAACCGAGGCCGATCGGCACGGCCCCTCGGCGTGTGCGCGTGTGCCGGCCGCCGGGGGCTGAACTCGGCGGTGGCCGCCGTCGCCGGCGGTGCCGTGTGTTCTGTGGGTGACCCAGTCAGTCGACGTCCCAGCCCAGTGGTGTCCCTGCCTACCAGGTGCGACGAAACAAGTGCTATCTGTGTTACCTGTGTCGGCCTTCGCTGACTATGTCTTCTGTTCTGTTTCAACCTATAAAGTAATTGACGCGTGTCCGGGGCGTGGCGATTGTGTAGTTTGATTTAACGTGAATTCAAAATGCACGCTGCTGGAAGCTTTCGTGTAGAATTCAGCCTTGCAGTGAGCGTGATCACACGGAAGGACACGTAATCATTTATTATATACGAAGCTCACTTGTGTCTTGCGCCGGCCATCTGCCGGGTTAGAGTCGTTCCAGAGGCTCTGCCGTCCTAAGTCAGAGACACGTAACTAACATTTTTCTCGAGATGGACTTATTGGTTTTATTACATTCGTCTGGGCGGGCCATACATTTTGACCGAGTGAAAAATGCGCGTTAATAATTTTAAAAAGAAGTAAGGTGATACAAGGATGGTAAATAGACGTATAAGTTGTTTCTGTGACGTTGTCCAAAGACAGAAACGAGTTTCTGACCCGTAACTGTGAAACAGGAGCCTTAGTTGTTCCCACTCGCTCCGTTTTCAGGGTAAAAAGCGCGCATCCGTTCACATACGCAGTGTTGTCACTTACGATCAGCGGCATTACTATGTCAAAAGAGCGTATCTGCGAAGTTACGCCTTTTGAGCTATTGGGAATCGTTGTAAACTGACCAGTTACGCTTGTTCGCCATTGAAAAATGTTTGTTTCTTTAAATTGTTTCCAACTCAATGCAAATACGCGCATCTTGGCAGCGGGAGTGCTGCGGTCTTACACGTGCATTGCAGTCATTCGTACAATGGGAAGAACAGCAGCTTCGGTGTGTTTATACCAGGGGTCTTAACCATGGCTATTTACCACCAAGAGCCACCATGCACAACGGGTATGCATCACACCATGTCTGATGTTCTCCACCCAAAAGATGCTTAACTTTTGCAGAGGCATGCACGGCCCTGAATTGATAATGGATGGCACACGACATCCTTCCCTGGTTCCATGGAGCGGTTCAATCACCCATTCGATGCTTAATAACTGCGTATAGAAAACGCGTTACTGCGCAAATAGTTGTCTTCGCCGACATACAAGACTTTTTCTGAGCCCCTTGCTACAATTGAACAAAAACGCGTATGTTATGGATATACGCGTGTGTTATCAAATACGCGTATATCTTATTAAAATTGTATGTTACCAGATATGCGTTTTCGCCAAGATACACCTTTCTGACTTTGACCACTATTAAGTTTTAATACCGTCTTCCCCTGTCATAAAACATCATCAGCAGTTAAAACTGTAGTTATCTCCGGCTCGTTAATTTTTGACTTTCCTAGGTAGAGAATTGTTTTGTCTTCCGATTGGAGTACGCTTTCTACTTTTGATTCTGATTTCTGACCATGACGCCAAAATAACATAAAAACGCTCTCCTGAACTATTATGAAATTGATAGTTAGGCGTTTTTGACTTTTGACGGCAGGGCTGGTGGAAGCTGGGCCAGGCCGAGCCGAGGTATGCACGAGTCTGGGGTGGCGTCGGTGCTGGCCGGCTGGGGGTGTCTGTGTCCGCCCCTCGGAGCAGTGAGCAGTGCCACTGGGTTGGGTCGGGGCGCCGCGGCGGCGGCCGACTCTCCACACTTCGCAACACCGCCCTCACTGATGCACCGACCGATGTGTGGCCGCACACTGCGCTTGGTCCGGGCCGGGACTGTGCTGACTGTGTTTGACGGGCGGCGGCGGCTGTAGCGGGCGGCGGGAGCGGGCGCACCGGCGCGGCGGCGGCGCGCGCTGACCCACTGTTCTGTTCGCAGGACTGTCGGGAGCGTATGAAAAGCTTGCATGCCAAGATTACCGCCAGGAATGAGCGCATTAAACTGTTGATACAGCGTGGCAAACCTGATCCTGATCCACTGCCCACCAATCCCTGATCGGCGGCCGGCGAAGTCGGCAGGCATTGGCCGGCGGTGAGCGCCGGGGACACTGTTACGGTCCCTCATGTGCGGCCTCGCCGCCGCCGGTGGTGCCGATCTGTCGGCGGTGTGTCGTGTAGGGTCGTCGGGGCCCGCCACCGTGCTCCCTGCAGACGGCCGGCGCCGCAGGGCGCGGCGCGGCAGCCGGCTGTGATACTCTGTCCCTGAGGGCAGCCCCGACCTGCGCCGCCGCGGTGTGCGGTCGGACGGCCGGAGCCCCGTGTTTTGTATTTGTCTGGTTGGAATATACGCGGCCGGCGACAGAGGTGTCTTGGGCAGCGCGAGCGGCGGCGCTGATGACCGGCGGTCGGGTCAGGTCAGGCCATGCGGCGCGGTCGGCTGGCGGCTCCGGAGCAGCGGCGCGCCAGGTGCGAACTCGCCAGAGTGCCGCATGAGCTAACCCCAGTAACGGGCCTGAGCCCTGTCTCCGTGTGCGCTACTAACCGTGCTCGTCCGTCTCGCTCGGCGTGCCTGACAGGCGCGCATCGTGCGACGGTGGAGGTGCACCGGCGCCAGTTCAGACCAGCTCCGCGCGCGAACGCGACGTCGGAGGCAAGTGGGCTGTTGAGCCCGGTGGCGGCGGTCGGCCCCTCCGCCGGTCCGTCTTCCGTGCAGGCCGGGGCGCGGGGCCAGGCTGTGACGCGCCGGCGCCGAAGGCGTGCCAGACCCGCCGGGCTGGACGGCTTGTCGGCCGCGTAGGACCCCCCCCCCCCCCCCCCCCATCCCCCTCTCTCTTTCCCGACGTCGGCCCGGCCACACCAGCGTGCTGCTTCACCCTCCCACCCTCGCGTGCTGCCACAGACTGTTTGCTCGTGTTGTGAACCGGGTGTCGTAGTCTCTCTTAGCCCTGCCGTGGACATTGCTGTGTTATTGGAGTGTAAATGCTGTCCAGTTCTACGTAGTTCAAGAGTGCGTTTTGCAGGTTGCAGGCGAGTTGTGTTGGTAGATCCCATGGCAATGGCGTGCTCTTGATAAGAGCTACATCTAACATAAACAACATATTAACAGCCTGCTGCCTGCCGCTGCCACTGAGTGAGGCTTCCGATCGTTTAAAGAAGAAAATTGCTAAGATAAGAGATTGAAAACAGGAACTTGAAATCGTCCGATGACATTGTCATTCAGTTCTTGAACATTTCTCCAGAACTGCTTCTGGCACACTGGATGACATGTTAGTGGCCTTCGCTTTTGTGCGATGGCGAGCTTTTAAGCTGTAAAAGGCGAAACATCTGAATGAAAGGCGGACAAGACGCGTTTGGGTTTGCTTTGGTGAATGTTTCGATCGCCATCTTCACCGAAATTTTTATGTGCGCGGCGTAATGTCATGTGCTGCTCAGTTCTTGGCCAGTTTGTACGGGGGCGGTCAGTAGAGCGCTATTCCGTGACGCGTCAGTCTAGCCGTGCTGTTAGGCCGCACCAAGCTGTGCCAGTCTAGCTGTGCTGCCAGGCCGCACCAAGCTGTATCAGTCTAGCTATGCTACTGGGCCACACCAAGCTGAGCCAGTCCAGGCGTGCTGCTAGACCGCACCAAGCTGAGCCAGTCCAGTCGTGCTGCTAGGCCGCACCGAGCTGTGCCGGTGCGGTGGTAAGTGCTCCTTTGTAGGCGGCCGCCGTTGGTCCAGAGATGGGGACCGGTCCAGAGCGAGGCGCCGCGGCCAGCCTCCCCCGTTAGTCACGAGGCAGACGCCGCCACGCTGATGAGAGACGCCTGCGGCGGTCGGAGCCGCGCCAGCGCCTGCCGTGCTGCCGCGTCCTCGCCGTCTGGGCTGCGCCAGCGCCGCAGACAGGCGCGGCAGTGTGTGACGCCTGTGCCTTTGCGGCCGTGTTGCAGGCGGACGAGCCGGTGTTTGCGGACCCCGGGCGGCGCACGGCGTGCTGGGCGGACACTGAACAGCACGTGAGTGGGGGATGGCCTGCTGGCGCAGTCACCGCGGCGCGTTTACCGCCACTGGTCAGGGCGTGCTCTGGACACTTCCCCGGAGAACGGTCTGCGATTGTCAGGTGCATGCGGAGGGGCCCTTAGGCAGGCTGAAACTCAGCAGAGACATGACAAGCGTTACGAAGAGAGACGTTTGTGGTGTTGAGGGATAACCTCATGGTGCCGAGAACGACCTTGGAGGTGCTGAGGGAGACCCTGTTCGTGCTGAGGGCGACCCTGTTCGTGCTGAGGGAGACCCCTTTGGTGCTGAAGGCGACCCCGTTGGTGCTGAAGGCGACCCTGTTGGTGCTGAGGGCGACCCTGTTCGTGCTGAGGGAGACCCCTTTGGTGCTGAAGGCGACCCCGTTGGTGCTGAAGGCGACGCTGTTGGTGCTGAGGGCGACCCTGTTCTTGCTTAGGGCGACCCTGTTGGGGCTGAGGGAGACCCTTTTGGTGCTGAAGGCGACCATGTTGGTGCTGAGGGCGACCCTGTTCGTGCTAAGGGAGACCCTGTTGGTGCCGAGGGCGACCCTGGAGACCACCATTGACGGGCCGGTGCCGACAGGTGGCCAGCCTGGAGCGTTGTGTGTCGGAGCTGACGCCGGTGGTCGGGTGGCTGTCGCAGCTGGAGCGGACCGTGTCGGGTCTGACAGAGCCGCCGCGCCGGCCGCCGGTGACCGCCGACCGCCCGACCACACCGCCCGGTGTGGACGGTGGCAGCGACGACACCCACGCGTCGGATACCTCCCCGGACACGGAGAGTCAGTCGGCGGACGTGCCGGACATGGAGATGTGGCCGCTGTCAGATGCGGAGAGTCACACGTCCGATGGTCCGGACACCGCGCGCGAGCAGCCATCTCTGTCGGACAGCACGGACGGGCAGCGTGGGCTGTCTGGCTGTCTGCTGGTGGATTTGGCGTGGATGGAGCGGCAATTGACGGAGATGCGGAGCCGGCAACACCAGCACCAGGTCAGCGGGCTGCGTTTCTCTTCACGGGCGGGCGCCACGTTATCGGCCCGGGCTCATCGACACGGGCCGGTGCTAGAGAACCGCTGTGATTGTCTATGGTATTAAACACGGCAGCTAAAACAGCTCGGTCGCGCACGTAAGTGTGCGTTTCAGTACATACAAAGGCACTGGCGGTGAAGACACAAGTGATGCCTTTCACCACGACGGATGCACTCAGGCAACGGCTGGTCTGCATGCACAGTGAAGTAACGTCGTCTGATGAAAACCTCACGTTTTCGTGGATCGGCTCCAGCGAAGCGCAGCTGCCGCCGCGCATGTACCCTCGCTTCTGGGCTGACGAACCACTGCACGCCCTGCCGCACGCAGTGGCTGTGGCTCCAGCTTGCCTGACGCGGAAGTGGAGGCTCCGTACTAAAAGCCGCAGTGTCGCGCAGCGCCCGGTCGGGCTAGCTTACACAATCCACATGATATTAATGCATCTAGATGATTATGCCTGTATATGGGCAGCTGTGAGCGGGCGATCCTTCGGCTCGGCGGAAGGTCAACGGGCGCTTGTGCAGAGCCGGCGCCGTGGCAGCCTACAGCGGCTTTGTGTCGTTGCTACGCTGCGAACCTCGGTACAGCACGCGACTCGTCGCTCTAACCTATCGATCCTGCGAGTGCCTGTTGGACTTTGAACGGCCGTCGCGGCTCGGGCCGGGCGGTGATCGCCGGGCCATGAGTGTCCCAGTTATTGACCGGCTGGGCGGCACCTGTGCCGGTCAGGTGTGCCCCCCGTCAGAGGCGCACCGCGAACCCCGCCTCTCAGCCGGCCCAGCTGAGCAGATCCGGCGGACCGGCTGCCGACGCCCAGAGGCCGGCCGGACAGGCCGCGAGTGGACAGGACTCCGCTGGCTGTTAGTGGACAGGACTCCGCTGGCTGCTAGTGGATAGGACTCCGCTGGCTGCTAGTGGCTGCTGTTAGAGGCTATCGCGAACGTATTCCCGACAGCTCCGGAAGCCCGACGGAGAAATTGCACAGGCCGATGAAGCTTGACGTTTACCAGCATTCTTATGTCAACATTCTAGGAAGTACTGTCTATCGAGTATCGCTGTCATTCCTGCTCTCCAGAATCGAAAAGTCGAATTTGGGAAGCATTACGCGGCTCAGCAGGGATGTGTATAGAGGCCAGCGTTGTACTGTTGTCGGTTGACCATGTGAAGGTCCTGAGTCGAGGTGCGCGCAGTGCGGTTGTGAAGGAACGAGCGCTGCCCCTAGCGTCAGCCTTCTCATAAGCGTGGGCGGGTCTGAGCTAGAGGATCCAGGTATGCCGGATAGTAAAACCCGGCAGACGTGGCCGCCTCAGACCAGCCGAGCGGCTCACTACATATAATGGACGCGCCGGCGCCGACAGGTGGCCGTGTTCGATTATCGCTCATGGCTTGGTGGTTCCTAAATAGTTGTGAACGTTGCACACTATCAAGATGATTTTGTTGTAAGGTGTGATCAAACGCTTCTTTCATCAAATGACCATGTTTTGCATGACTTCCGTGCGGATGGTCTGAGGCAAACGTGCAAACGGGAGAGAGCGGTACCGTGGACCGAGGAAGTCTCACTTCCAGAAAAGTATTCCGTATCAGTCTCGTTCTGTCTCAGTACGAAGCCGGCTGTTTCATCAGTTACCCCATCATCAGTTGCCTCATCATCAGTTACCCCATCATCAGCTACCCCATCAGCAGTTACCCCGTCATCAGTTACCCCATAATCAATTATCCCATCATCAGTTACTCCATCATCAGTTACTCCGTCATCAGTTACCCCATCTGTGAACAAAAGCCGCTTAACCATGCGATGCCCGCGGTCTTTCGTCAACCGTGACGGCCCGGTGATTAAATTCCTTCGTGCAATCTCAGCATCTAACCATCGGATCGGAAAACAATCGACAAGGGATAACGTGGTCATTTTTATTCAGACAACTGAGTTGACATTTTCGCCGGACCAACTGCCTCGCGGATCACGTGAAATATCCTAGAAGTCCTAAAGTAGCGCTGCCTAAAAGTCTCATTCTAATTTCGGACCCAGCAGCACTCGTAATTGTGGTTGTTGACGGTGATAGCTGACCTAGGTAACGTCCTGTGATGGCATTACCCATGGGTATTGGTTCATGCAACGCGTTAGTCTCGTCGAATTAGTTAACACGAATGGGCGGCACAGGTTCTGTGGCTCAGCGCTTCAAATTGGTCTTGCGTAATTGCACGGGTGGCGATCCCTGGACTGAACATGTAGCTCGACATCCTACTCGACATCGACAAAGGCATTGACTGGTGGCGGTACGGCATTGCCTGGCCTGCTAGATTGCCAGAGAACCGGCCCTGCACACACGTAACAGTCCAGATGAGAGTAAAAGCTATCCGATAGTTACGGTGGTATGGAGTCTGCGTGTGTTGTGAATGCCTTTTGTTTTACAAGTGCTGCGTACAAAATCGATCCGCATAGGGTTTTCGGCGTCGCTATCGACCCATTGTCTTCGAGCAAATGGTATGGGCAAGAACGTCAGTCAAAGAAGCCTTCTCAGAGCACAGGTGTGAAGCGACTGCTCCAGTCAGTGATCGCTGTCCGTCCCTGTTTGTAAATGGAGAACGTGCTGCTAAAGCGGAGCACCTCCCTCGGTGCTGCGGGTGACCGTTCTCACGGAACAGAACGGGGGCTTTAGCACGACCACGCCCGCACGCCCGGGGTCCAGGCGGTGTACGTGCCGCTCTCCGCGCAAGGACTGCTTTCTTGATAGTCATGGGGAGAGGCAATTATAATTTCGTATGATGACGGATATGGGTTTTAAGTACAGTTTGGCGGTATATCTTCCACCTGATTGCATCTCATAAAATGTGTCGAGGAATGGAATGTACGGATTTTGTACGCCTTGTTACAGAGTGAAGGAAGTATTGGCGTGGTGCTTATTTATTTCTGCGAAGAAATCCGGCCTTGAACTCAGCGTCGGAGCGTCGTATCTGCTTAATACAACCATTGCTTGCTCGATGGCTTCGTTCAATCGGTGCCTTGTGAACTGAATGTAATTTGTGTTCAGCGAACTCCCCACTCATGCCGGACCATAACGAGTGAATGGCCTTTCTTACTTGTATCAACTTCAAGCACATGTCGAAGCGCCGGTCCCGGTATTAATTAAGACGGCCAATCTGGTAGCTCGTTCGGTCTCCAACCTTTGCACATTCTGTCCGTCCATTTATCGGAGTGCGCGTTGAGCTCGGGTAAGGTCAGTTCCACGTTTAGGTGTAGGTGGTTACTGGCAGTGCGCATGGTACATTTCTCGTAATCCCCTGGAAAATGTAAAATGTTGCACGCTCTTCTCTAGTCCGCCCCTGCCAGGACACGTCATTCTGCATCAAGCTGTGTTTACGTCTTAGACCACCTTCCATAATTGATAAATGAAACCCATTCTCGGGGATCATATCGGACCGATTTACTAAGATGTTTGATAATGATGTTTGGGGATGTCTTGACATGGGAAACGAACTTTAATTGGCTGAAATCCGTGGTTTCGATTTTAAAAAGTTACGTCCCTGCCTCTGACAATGAAGATAAATATCATAGCTTATGATAAGAGTTCACAATGAGATGATGGACGGGTCCCCAATACCGAACCCCTGTCATTCTTTTGTAAGCTGAGGACCGTTAAACCGAACTCGAAACTCTGTACCATTTATTTGACCACCTGCGGTTATAAGGAATCTTGTTGCGTCAATGAAGATTTCGCTTCAGTCCGCAGCCAACTTGTGGGTCAGAGGGCCTCCCGCGTCAGTCCGCAGCCAACAGCCTGGGTCAGAGGGCCTCCCGCTTCAGTCCGCAACCAATTGCCCGTGTCAGAGGGCCTCCCGCCTCGATCCGCAGCCAACTGTCTGGGTCAGAGGGCCTCCCGCTTCAGTCCGCAGCCAACTGTCTGGGTCAGAGGGTCTCCCGCTTGTCTGGACCGATGTGCGGCTGCACACCGCGCGCGGGCCGGGCCGGGACTGTGCTGGCTGTGTTTGACGGGCGGCGGCGGCTGTAGCGGGCGGCGGGAGCGGGCGCACCGGCGCGGCGGCGGCGCGCGCTGACCCACTGTTCTGTTCACAGGGCTGTCGGGAGCGTATGAAAAGCTTGCATGCCAAGATTACCGTCAGGAATGAGCGCATTTAACTGTTGATACAGCGTGGCAAACCTGATCCTGATCCACTGCCCACCAATCCCTGATCGGCGGCCGGCGAAGTCGGCAGGCATTGGCCGGCGGTGAGCGCCGGGGACACTGTTACGGTCCCTCACGCGTGGCCTCGCCGCCGCCGATGGTGCCGATCTGTCGGCGGTGTGTCGTGTAGGGTCGCCGGGGCCCGCCACCGTGCTCCCTGCAGACGGCCGGCGCCGCAGGGCGCGGCGCGGCAGCCGGCTGTGATACTCTGTCCCTGAGGGCAGCCCCGACCTGCGCCGCCGCGGTGTGCGGTCGGACGGCCGGAGCCCCGTGTTTCGTATTCGTCTGGTTGGAATGTACGCGGCCGGCAACAGAGGTGTCTTGGGCAGCGCGAGCGGCGGCGCTGATGACCGGCACTCCAGCGCGGTCGGGTCAGGCCAGGTTAGGCGGCGCGGCCGGCTGGCGGCTCCGGGGCAGCGGCGCGCCAGGTGCGAACTCGCCAGAGTGCCGCATGAGCTAACCCCAGTAACGGACCTGAGGCCTGTCTCCGTGTGCGCTACTAACCGTGCTCGTCCGTCTCGCTCGGCGTGCCTGACAGGCGCGCAGCGTGCGACGGTGGAGGTGCACCGGCGCCAGTTCAGACCGGCTCCGCGCGCGAACGCGACGTCGGAGGCAAGTGGGCTGTTGAGCCCGGTGGCGGCGGTTGGCCCCTCCGCCGGTCCGTCTTCCGTGCAGGCCGGGGCGCGGGGCCAGGCTGTGACGTGCCGGCGCCGAAGGCGTGCCAGACCCGCCGGGCTGGACGGCTTGTCGGCCGCGTAGGAGCCCCCCCCCCCCCCCCCCCAC